AAGTTTTCGGGATACTTTAGCATGTAACTGACTGTGTCCTCACTTTACATTTCCCAGAATTTGTGTTTACCAGAGTGTTAATTCCCTTCACCTAAATGAGCGGTGAGACTGTGACGCATAATTTGGACGTGCATTCCTTAAGCAATTTACCATCATCGAATAAGTGCTAGTAGTGTTATTACGACTTGCGTCGGTAAATGTCATTGCTAAACTATTAAATAAGGTCACATGCGTTGAGAAGTGGCTGAGAGCTATCAACTCGGGTTTTCTAAGCGGCTGTTTCTTAATCACCTGATAAATACAACAGTTATGCACAGCAATGCATCAGTTTGTTTATAAGAACTACTTACCATCAAGTTTTAAACATGGACCTAAAAGAATATATCAAAAGTGTGTAACGTACAGTAACTATGCGTTTGCAACTTCCAGTGTGTATGTTAAGTTCAAAAATGTTTCAGCATGTATTATAGACATGTGGAGGAAGCAGCCATGACCATATCAGTAATAAGTCACGGTTATACTTTGTTTATAGAATTTAATCTCCACGTCTTCTTCTCTGTGGTTAGCGGGGCAAAGGTTATGGGAAATGATAGCTGATTATATTAATTATTATACTGTGGGTATAGAGTAAGCTGAACAAATGAATTTGACGTTACCGTAAAGAATCACAACACCCCTACCAAAATATAGTATCCTCCTGTTAAAAGGAGTGTTTGTATTTATTTTGTCTTCATTATATATTACATATATATTTACAAATGCACGATGACTAGATCGATTTCCTGAGTTGGAATTTGCAAACCAGATGTTTGCTACTGTCCTGCTTGCCTGTGTGCGTGCATGTAAGTAGGGAGAATTTAAAATAAATGCATAGTTAGGTTGACCTAACCCACTGATGGGTGAAAACAATTGTGTGCATTATCTCGAATTGAAATAGGTGTGTTTTTTTAAATTAATCTATGTAAAACGAACACATTGATAATACTGTCTGATACAAAAAATCGAGAACGTTAACTCGCTCAAATAATAGCTCTTCATATTCTCCAAAGTCCAAACTTTTCATGTTGCGTTATGCTGACGAGGCCCCCAGTTAAATTCAAATAATAGTAAAAAGCATAAAGAATTATATTTTCAATTTGTATTAAATTAGTGGCATGTAATAATGCACGACCCCGCATAATTAACGTGATTCAATGTAGGCAGAAGAGGTGTTCTGTTTATCTTTTACAAGCAGATATTTTTTATGTCAGTGGAAAGAATGTGTTAGTGACACCATTCCTTGTTCACCGCGTAGATTTCAACATTATTTGAAAACAGACATTGTTTTAGAGCCCATCTGGGGTTCATCAAAACAAATAGGACTGCCTGGAAGTGACGAATAACTCTGACCAATTTGTTAAAGAAAATCTTTGCTTGAAGCAGAATTTGATACCTGGACCGAATGGGAAATATTGATTCTGTGCATAATTATCAGAATATTTTACCTTGAGGGAATTAAAAATAATAAAATATCACCGTCACCAGTTACAGAAACAACGCCAGCTTTTGTGGTATTTTTCTTTCTTAATTTAATTACACCATTAGGTGTTCTGTAAGAGACAAAGTATGGAGTAGTTGGTATATGGTTTAGTTATACTTCGGTTAACCTGTTTCGGACTGATGTGAGGGAACATGACTGAATTATAGTTATCTTACAAAGTTTGCACCAGTTGGAAATATTTGGAGCGTCAGATCAATCCTAAAATATATAAATCTTGTTTAAATAGGATCGATTCAATTATGACTCCTATTCCCCAAACCAACTAAAGTAGAATCAATTCAATGCAGTTGAATCACAACTCAAATGCTCTTGCAGCTGATGCAATTGGATCTTTTATACTCTTTTACGCGTTCCTGGACTCTCTAGAGTTTTCACGGACGACTGCACTCTCATTTGTTTCACACCTGGAAAAAAAAGTAACTGGCATTGAGCATCAGGTCGCGAAGCTCTGAACGCGTTATCAGTCTCTCATGCACAGACCTCTTTGGGAATGCATTTTCCTTGGGAAGAGCCATTGGTTGGAACTAGGAAGCACAGCTGCGGTTTCCCGTTCCCAAGTAACAAAGTCGCACTGTTTCCCGCAGTATCGCAGTCCAGTCCCCTCCTCTCCGACCTGTGTCCGGGCAAAGCGGAGCTCCATCCATTGGTGCTCACACTGTACATATACACAGAGCTCTGTTAACTGGTCGGTGAAAACTGTCGATATTGTATTTTTCGGTGTTTTACTAACGTTGACAACAAGTAAGCTGATCTTCGCGATTTTTTCCAAAATAAATAATAAAGTTTAGACATATGTAAAGCTTGTTGTTGATCGTTATCGTTGGCCGTGTCAATGCCTATTATGTTGACACTGAGGACTGGAGGTGGTCCCAAACATCTGGCCACACCAGCCCTTCACTCAATTTCAAACCAGACACACGGTGCAGTTTCTCGGTGTCAGTGCCAGGTACAATAAAAACAAGTGTTTTGAATCAATATAGAAAGTGCAGCGTAACTGGCTCCATTGAGAAGTACAAAAACAATTAGCCTCTACCTTATTTACACCCTTGTTTTAAAGATTTTGTTTGAAGTTTAACACATTACGTTGGCGTGCGGTGCTTTTAGTTCTGTTCATGTTCCTGTTAAACCGTGAGTGATAATGACACTTTCGGGAAATGCTTGGGAGGAGTTATTGAAGCTCACAGTGTGAGGGAATTGCATTGCTAATATTACTGGTAGGGTGTTTCAGCTCCTGCCTGGTTTGTGTACCTGCACATTATACTGCGCTCAGTAACTCTTGCGTGACAGTTCCTCTAACGAAGTTATGGACACTTCATTGCCCGCATTTTGCTAAATCTTTTGTGTCAATTGCACGCAGTTTTCACGTTGAACTGATACTATAATTATGGGATAACTTGATATTGGACCTATTACCGGTCCTTCCCAGAAAACCTCCTCTTGCGGGTAACTTTAGATTCAATTGATGGCCACATCTGTACTCCAACCTGCAACAGGTGTGACTGAATCGGATCTCAGTGGTTGGAGCACTCGCCTCGCAAAAGCGAGAGACCTGGGTTTGATTCCTGGCAGAGTGAAGCCTTGGGCAAGTTTCCCTACTCCACACGCCTCTGTTTACAGAGCAGTAAGTAGGAACCCGGTTGTAAGTCGATTGGCGGATCGCTTTTCCGGTGGTTAATAATTCCTTCAGAACATTATTTTAAAAAATGATCACCCAATCCGCGACTGTTTGTGGGACACTGCTGTGCGCAATTGGCTGCCGAGTTTCGCCCACAGTATATTCTGGGAAGCGCTTTGAGACGTCTCGAAGACGTGATAAGGCGCGAGGTCAAATTCGAGGATTATTATTATTATCTCTGCTTTCCCACCGCTAGAGTCAAGGCACCGCACTGTTACAACATCACCAAGGACCCGACAGAGAGAGAGAGGCAATGTTGCACGCAGGCATTCCAGTTTCTGCCATAACATCAACGTCGATGCAAATCATTGAATCACGTTCATATATGATCTAAGCAGATAAACTGATCCCAATCTACCCACTCACATCGTTTCACTACTGGAAGTGCTGTATCATCGCATCCTGATGTACAAATGGGGCATAAACAATACAAAGGCAGAAGAAAAAGTCAACAAAATGTTAACCATTAAGTTAACCATAATTATTTGCTTTTCAAGGCAAATTACAGTGAGGCTTAGTGAACAAACAAGTTTAAACTCCATAGCCATATTTGGTATTGTTGTCCCCTCCTGGTCTTCTGCTTGTTGGTTAAGTAACTCAAGCTGCAAATTCCTAAGTGAGCATCTTTTGGCTTCAGCTCCACACCTCCCTGTATTAAGTGATCAGGTTACACGTATTTGAATTCGACGTCTAGTGCAGTAGCTGCAGTGGAATTTTAAAATCCGAAAAGTGCAACAAGGCAGATTTAAATTAATTCTAAAATACTTGGCAAGTATTTAGAGGTCACACAAACTCACCCCACAATCTATTTTATTTTCACGGGCGTTTCCCTGTGAATTTCGGTTCTCTAGATATTCTTAATAGGTAACACAATGTAGAGAGGGATTACTGATTTTATGGCAGGCTCGAACAATCTTCACTTTTATAAGAATAACACGCTTGACTAAGCTATGGTTTCTCCATCTATTGCAGGGCTCCTTAAGTATTACAACATTTCAGTAATGATCACACAACCAGAAATATATGTATGCACAGAAGTAGAATGTTGACGTGATCCCCATTAATTGCTTTCCTTGCTGGTTTCAAAATTATTCATGATTTTATGATCATTAAAATGAAAAAGGCTGTTAAAAATAATAATTTATGTCAATCTAACTAATGACAAAGTTGCTGATAACCAACTTGTACCAGTCGCTGTTGGTCGCTCCAAAAGAATCGAATGACAATTTCAACTGACTTTTGATAAAATGATTGTGCTTAAGAGATGATTGGTCGGACATAATGTAGGTTTGAAGTTAAATGGTTTCTCGTGTCTTTTTTAGCAATATTTTATTTTTTTTGAAAAAGGAATATTCTCGTCCAACACTATTTTGCTGACAGAGTGGACTTATCCTGGAGCACAGATGGCACAAATGTGCTTGAAAGTAACTACTTCAGTTGAGTTTCGCTGTGAAATGCGAGCAGCGATAACAAATTGCATGTTTGTAGTTTCAAGTCACAGAATGAAATGGAAATAAAGGGAGCATTGGATGATCTGGCTCTTCCCCAAAATATTGTCTCGTGTGCTTTTACATATGGGTAGAAAAATATTGTCATAAACACTTTAAAATATCTAGTTTAATTGATACTGTTTTTTTTCTTATGAAACCACCACTGTTTGCATATTGAAGTGCATTTTAAGTACAATTGACACCATTCACCGATAAGGAATATTGCATGTATAATATGTCCGATCAGACGAATTAAAGCATTACAATATTGGGGTTTTCGATTGCTTCTTTTCAGTTCCGGTTCCTCACAAGTCGGTCACGTCTCTGATGCTCAATAAGGACAATCTGCTCGGCGGAGTTGCTAATGTTAACGAGGTGTTCTGCTCGGTGCCTGGGCGACTCTCACTGCTCAGCTCCACATCCAAGTACAAGGTGACGGTGGGAGAAGTTCAGCGGCGGCTGTCCCCACCGGAATGTTTGAATGCGTCCCTGCTGGGGGGAGTGCTCAGAAGGTAGGGGGACAAGCACACACACACACACTCACACACACACACTCACACTGAAACAGACAAATAACAAATCCAGGTGCAATGGTGCAAACACAAACCGATGCGATCTTGCAAATGAAGTGCGTCCTGACGTTTGTCCATTATCCATCCGTGTCTCTGGCGGGGTGTCGGGTTGCCCACCTATCTGTTCACATAATGCAGGCATTTCAAACATTCGTCCAGCTGTCACAATATTGTGTTATTTGAATCTCTATCTGACTGATTTGGGTAACGTACAGTCTTGCTGGTACATTGCATAGTCGCCCCTTTCAATTAAAACTTTAAAACATTGCTTTCAAAATAAGGACGGGTTGTCTGTCTAATTGCCGTCCTGTAATACTACTGTGTGAATCAAACAGACATTCCGTTAAGAAAAAAATACCAACTTGCTCGCTGGTTAAACCACAGCACGTCTTCATATTGTTGATCATGTGTTATTTTCCAGGGCTAAATCGAAAAATGGTGGCAGATCATTGAGAGAAAAATTGGAGAAGATCGGTTTAAACTTACCCGCGGGCAGACGCAAAGCTGCGAACGTCACTTTACTAACTTCACTGGTGGAAGGTAAGCACTGGGGAAAAGCAGAGGCGGCAGATGTATTCATTTCTTTGTACTGGTAACCATACATAATTGTCGCAAAATTAAAGCCATTAACCTCCACACGATAAAAGAAAAGATGTATGAGTCTAATTTGTCACGTATTTGTATCACAGTGTTATCCTCTATTTATCATGTTGACAGAGGTATAATTTCATCACTTTACACTTAAGCATATTCTGTACATGTAGTACTATGTTTATCTTACAAAGGACATAGCAGCGATCTGAGGGGACTGCTGGAACCAAAAGAATCAAATCATATCATTTGCATGATTTTTTGCATTTGGAGGAAGACAGTTTATTTGCAATTGCAAAAAAAATGATAACATTAGTAAGCTAATTTAGGTAACATGGTATTTTGTGCATAAATAATAATACAAAAATAATATAAATACATTTATCCCAGGGCCTTAAGGGCTTTTGACTTGGCTTCATGAATAATTCATCGTTCTATTCAAATTTGCATATATAATAGCGTTTGCAATAAGTTAGTTACAGCACACACAGAAGTACACTGGCAATTTTCTTTTGGACTGTGATTTCTACGGGATCGATTTCCTGACTGTTTTTTTTTCTCGCTCTCTGAGTGTGCATCAGAGATACATGTACACAGTATTTCTTATGTTCATGATTACATCTTGTGTCGTGCACATCTGCGTATTTCATTTTAGAAAACAATATGTGTTCAGTGCTTTGCATCAATATTTTTCTGATGTACTGTTATTAAAACGAATCCATTACTTATTCTTAGATTTTTATTGGATTCCAGTCGGTAACATTTATTTCATGTTATTTCAACCACTAAAACCGTTGACATTGTGCATTCTGAACCAGGATATTTGGGACTTATATATTTATGATTAGCTATTTTTGTCTGTCTGTCTGTCTATCTGTCTATATGTCTGTCTATATGTCTGTCTGTCTGTCTTTCGGTCTGTCTGTCTTGTCTGTCTGGCTGTCTTTCCGTCTATTCTGCCCTGTTTCTGGTGCCCAATTAGCCATCAATTCGTACCTACCAGTTTATCTATGTGTATTTTCTAAATAATGCTAATCAGTGTGAACACACTAGATATTTTTTTTCTGTTAGCTAATTAAATTTCCATTCGGGTAGACATGTAACGGAGTTTTTTTTTAAAGAAAACAAATTACACTCCCAATGAATATATATTTTATGGTAGATGCCTCACAAAGGAAAAAAATGTTAAAAATCAAACAATAATTAGTCTTTATCATTCGAGACACAGTAATCTGATTGAATTCTTTGGTGCTATAATGTTAGCTTCCTGTCTAAGTCTAGGCTCCCGCCTGCGAAGTGCTTTATTATTTGAAAAGATCTATGCTGGAGGGTTCAGACATTATCTCCTCGAATTCCCCCAGAGCTCGACTTTGTAGTATTACCCAGCCTTTGGTACTCGCTGAAACATCAGCATCAGGCGGGGAGGGTTGATGACTTGGAAATCCCTGGAGAATATTCTCAATAAAACACACATAAAACTATAGCAATATAGGAAATGAAAATATTGTAGCTCGTTTGTACTTTTTAAACTATTTTGGTCTGATCTATAAACTAACACTGGTCTTTATATCGCATCCATATATGCACTGAATAATTATATGCAGTAAATTCGTCTGAAAAGCATTTAGAAGTTTTCAGCACTCCACATTGTTCAGTTGGGATCCTCCCTCTTAGTTTTTACTGCTTTACAATATTTTCGTGGTCTCTCATGGTAATTTCTTATGTGTCTTGTTGTAACTGATACATTGAATTTTAATGTGCTATACTCTGTTCCACTATATTGTACTATATTGAATTTTATTAAACTCTTCCTGACAAAATATATAGTAAAATGCTAATTTGAAAAAAATATATATGCATTTCTCTAATATGTGCATATTTTATACAGACGATTTTTAATATTGTATGGAAGCGTAGATGAGCAGCTCCATATATGATATACTCACGTATCACACATAGCCAGATGGATAGAAGAACAGACTCATTATATCTACATATGAGAGAGAGGTTGATGATGGATAGGCAAACAGACGGATTGATAGTAATTATTCTTCTTACTTCTGCATGAATAACATCAGACATTACTAATCTCATTCTGAAATCTCACACTTCACTGTTGCAGTTTGTTATTTTGGCAAGTAATGCTCAGTTGCTGCTTGTTATGAGCTCCTGGGGGTCCTTCGTTTAATTACAATATTTATCTTTTCAAAGATAAATGTACCATAGTCAGCCCTTCGGAACAGTCAACTGCTTTGCAGCAAATGTATTTACTTTGATTGCCCACAACAAAGGCTTAAAACCCTACCTAGGGCAAATAAAACACGCTAGTCGTATTATATGAAGGAATACATTATTATTAAAAGTATGTTAGCAATGCAATAATCCACGCTGTACAATGCACTCTGTGTGTAATAACTGAACGCATACTGAGTACTATAGTGGAAAAGACCACGCCTTCAAATATAACCAATACACTTAAGCATTAATCTGGCTTCTTGCATGGTTATTTCGATAACATATTCACATCAAACAATCATATCTTAAACTAGCCTTTATCCATAGCCAGCTCTACGTCCATTACCTGGGTTCCAAGTTACATACTGTATGTACAGTGTAAACAACGGTTTCATTCAATCTGCGAAGGGGTTAATTCAAGCTTCAAATATTAATCTTTCACAGTGACTGAATATACTAGGTTTGTCGGAGAAGAAAGTGTAAGAAAAAAATATTATCATAGCAGAATAGCTCATTCCCTGGAAAGGGATTCTCTGGTAAAGCTTTTTCAAAACTGTGAATATTTTTTCCTGTATATATTAGAAATGATGTTGCATATAGATTTGGATTACATTATTGATGATTTATTAACATTAAGAGTTCTGGTCTTCAACTGGATTCCCATATTCGTCTGGCCTGTAAAATAAAGTGCTGAAAAACGAGGGCAAAACACATCGAATTCCATCAGGAACTTCCACTTCGGTGTTAATGGGCAAATCTCGAACCTATTCATTCTGCCAACCTCCAATGCAACATTACTATACGTTTAGGACTTTGCTTTTTCTTATTCCCCTTCCTACCACCCCCACCCCACCCCCCTCTCTCTCTCTCTCTCTCACACACACACACACACACTATATGCAAATGTTGGTAACCAACAGCTGAAGAGTTGTCCACCCGCCGGGCATATAAGGCTTTCATCTGATTGGTTTGGTTTTGTGTTGCAGGTGAAGCCGTGCATTTAGCCCGAGATTTTGGGTATATCTGTGAGACGGAATTCCCCGCCAAAGCTGCTGCTGACTACCTGAACAGACAGCACACAGACCCCAGCGAGCTGCACTCCCGAAAGAATATGATCCTGGCCACAAAGTGAGTTACTCACTTATTCTACTGTTATTGGGGATTTGCGGAGATGACCATCTGCAGTAAACAATGAATCATAGTTACACGTTGAGGGGCTAAATGAAATGCACTCTCATGCAATGTTGTATACTGTTACTTATACTAGGTAATACGACTTGACTTCAACTCCATAAACAAGGATTTGACTATTTCATGCATTCAAAGCTGCTGAGCTTCCACGCTTCTCTGTTCTTTCAACCAATATATTGTTTATAGTTGGTGCAGGTAGGGAACTAAATGGCAGTTGCGTTACATGGACTATGGCATCAAATCTTTTTGTTTTTTACGTGCTTTTGTTTTAGAAAACAACGTGCTTTACGGTGTTTAAAGGAACAATTCCGTTTAACCAGCATTGTATAAATTAAAGCATTGGCTTCCAGAAGACCTGTTAAAAAAAAAAGACCTGCCCCCCCCCCCCCCACCACCACCCAGATACCCCAATTTCTAACGACCTCAAAAGAGTTTCAATCAACTCGGGTCAAAGGAAAAACAACATGAAAATATTCCACTGTCTTTGTCTTTAATATTGTTGAGAAAAAGAGCTCTCAACTTCCTCCAAAGATTTTAAAAAAGGGCTGAAAAATCATTTGCTCAAATTTGTCCAGATGTTCACTAGACGTGATTTGAATTTAATTGTTTCTTTCCGCCGGGTCAAAAGATATTACAATCTCAGAAGTTTAATTGCTTGCAGGCGATCCTTTTTTCTTTGAAGACTCGAAAAGCTTGGCTTCCCTGTCATTAATCCTTCACGGTGGACGTTTCCTCTTTTACATAGTAAAAAAAATACAGAAGGATGAATGCAGGCGTTTAGACTGTTCCCATAGTTATAATGATTTCCTATGCACATATTTATCTGTGTGCTATCACACACAACTCTCATAAGTACAGCGCATATTTCGAAAATGAAAAAAAAGAAAGATTAAGGAAAGTAAAAGGAAAACAAAATGAATATTTTAAAACAGTAAGAATCTCCTAACTAATTGCTTGTTGCATTTTTGTTGCAACTAAAAAAAATTGCAAAATATTCATATATATATATATATTTCTAGTCTGATCATTGTGTGGACAAGCATCTTGTTTTTCACTTACTCTATCTTCAATCTGAGATTCCCTCAGGTCTTCAATTCATTCAGCCCAGAGTGGCCCTTGGTTTTGAAGGTTGTTTTCTTTTACATAACCCTGCAACTTCCTTCTGGTTTCTCTGGTTGGGAACAGGAACAAGATAGACAAAAATAGGTAGAATCGAAGAATCAAACTGGACTTTGAGAAGTTAGTTAGAACGATTTCTGCAATGTCTTCATTTGTAATATTTTCAATATATTTTTGCCAATTTTCTATCCTCTCCCAAAAGCATTAACAGCCACAAGGATATAGCTCATGGGTGCATTGCCCAAGGTACCATTCTCCACGTGTGAGTCAAAATAGTGAGAGTCAGGGAAGCTCAATCTGATCTTGCCCTTATCCACTTTCATGGGAGATCACCCAGAGTCAGAAGTGGGATCCCCACTTTATTCTCCCTCACTTTAACCTAGGAAAAATGTAGAGCCTCAATTAAGACCAATGACACAGTACAGGTTAGGATTTGATCCGGCAACCTTCCAATTTCCATGACGTAGCACTTCACACCTTTATATGCCAGGCTTGTTGAGCTTGCTCTATTATACAAACTTCAATAGTTTGATTGCTATTGGGATATGTTTCACAATGTAAGAATGTACCACTAGTAACAGAGATATATTCTTTGTCTTCTGTTATTGAAACAATCCACCCTCCAACTAAAAAAATCTCTCAGTATTTGCATCAGGCAGCATCATTTTGGATGTTGGCCATCAAATAACAAATATATTAGCAAATATTCTTTCCACACATGTTAAGTGTTAAGCAATTTTCCAAAAAAAGGCAAGGAAGTAGGTTAAAATACATAAGGACATATTACTCAGCAGTAGCCAACTACTGTGTACTATCGAACATCTGGAGCTACATAAGAATCATCAATGCTTCAGCAGCAATACTGATGGGCTTCAGTGCTCACCAATCTGTGAGTAGAAATTTCACCTTGGTCTAGATTTATTCCATCAATGTAACAATTCAAAGTGTGCAATTTTTAATAATAATAATGTAGTATTTATTTTTGGCAAATAATGTAGTATTTATTTTGGCAAATTGTTGAAATTGTTTTTAACTTTGAAACCTGTTTTTTGCAGTTCTTAAAAAAAATACAGAAAATTGACTTCAAAATTAAAGATGGTATTTAAGAATATGAATGCTTCTGAATGCTCTGAAATGCTCATGAATAGAATAAATCTAGACCCAGGGGAAATTTCAAGTCAGCAGTTGGCGTAACTTTGCTGAGACTTACCTTTAAATGAATGGTGGTTTATAAATGTAAGTTGTTGTTGTCTAGGCAAAATAAGCGGACTGAAAAGTGAATGCAGTCACTCTTCACAAGAAGTACACAAAATATGCGTATGATCGCAAGGACATATTCTAAACCTAGAATTCAAGATGATGGTCCTAAACGTCTCAAGTTTCCCCTCTCATAGTTTCCCTTTCACTGAAACTCCCTGACTCACTCCCAGCCATGAACATTTCTGTATGTCACCAATAAGATTAAATTGAGATTTTTGAAAGAAAAATGTGATATTTAAAGAGTGTATTACACAATTGCAGAAGTATTTCACTCTGTTTCACATGTCAATAAATTTTGCATGGAAGAAATAAAACTAAAAATAGATTTCATGCATTCCCAAAAGGAGCTTCCAAGACTTCTGCCAATTGTAAAGCTTTAAAATTCACATATGCTTATTTTTGAAGGACTGCCAAATGTAAAATAAAATGCCGACTGCCAGAAATCGAACAAGAACAATGTATAGAAAGAACATAGAACAATTTGTTTCCTTGCAGTGCGCAATCTGGAAATGATGGGATCTTTAACATTAGTGATGCGGTACTGTAAAGTTTAACCCTTTAAACACCAAATGTTTAAAGTTTAAAATGCTGAGTTGTGTGACCGGCTAGGAAGCTCACATGGAGTTTCTGCTACTTGCCTTCCATCTACTGTGGCTCAAACGTAGACCTATCAGATGTTTAATGACCAAATAGTGACTATCCTCTTCTGCGGGGAGGTAAGTGGGGTTTTCTTGGAGCTGAATTGGCTCCAAGGTGACATCTTTGTCAAAGGCATGTCAGAATTGAGCCAAGCCTTTCTAACAACCCAAGTAGTTCAGTTCCTGAGCCAAGCGGGGACGCAGTTTTCCAGTGCACTGTTGATGACAACTTAGTCAGCCTGGCTCATCGGCAGGACCTGGAAGGGCAGAGCAACCACTGGGGACATGGAGTCTTCACACTCTGCTCCTATTAACCATGCAAACCAAAGCCTTAACGGGTAGAGTGGTTCTATCTGGATAAGCAATGGTTAGACTTGAGCAGTAGGCCAACACACACTCTGGGGTTGCTAGATCTTGGTTCTTGCCAATCTGTGTCTATTATGCTCCTGAATTAGGTAAGCAGAATGTCTCCCTGCAGTGAGAGAGTATGCATTCCATTCCAATAAATATCTTGGGAATTCCATGTATATGTGGATGCATGGAACTCTCAGTTTGGTTTGGATACTCTTAAGCAACAATAACAACAATTTGCATTTATGTAATGCCCTTCGTGCAGGGCAGGGCCTAGGAACTCTTTTTCAGACACCTGGCTGTCCAAAAAAACTAAATCTGCTGAATCCCCAATTCCTATTTGAGTTTCTTCCCTTGGTATTTGCAGCATTAATTCTTACAGACACGATACTCTACGTAAAAAAAATCTTTACATGAAATATGGTATCCTTCACATTAGGATGACATCTCAAAGCACTTCACAGGGTTTACTGTAAAGAGTAGCGACTGTGGATTTTGTAGGCAAAAGTGACAGCCACTGTGCATGTAGCAATGTAATTGCAATGAATAGCACATTTTATTTAGAAGATTTTTAACCAGGATTCCAAAAGAAACTCTTCACTTTTCAAATATTGCAATGGGATCTTTATGATCCATCTGAGCAGGTAGACAGCACCTCATTTGAAGGACGGCACCTCTGCCTATACAGCCCTGCATTGGAGTGTGAGTATGAGCTCAAGTCCCAATGTGGGGCTAGAACCCATAACCTTCTGATTCAGAGTTGGGAATGTTATCGGCTGAGTCAGTATGACACCCAAATCCTCTGGAACGCTATGAGATGTCCTTCTACTGTGAAAGATGCTATATCAAATACAAGGGTTATTAATGGATTCTGAGTTTGTGTACTTATGAAGTTGAGGTTATCTAATTAACAAAAGGGTATTCTATTAGCAATGTCCTATTTTGGTTCAGAAATAACAGCAGAAAACAAATAACCTCACCTTATCCTTTGACTAATTTTGAACCCATGAAAGTTTTAACAAAACTAGTTCAACAATATTAAATTTGGCATCACACTGTTACTTTCATTCTTTACTGCAATAAAGAAAAAAAAGTGGAAAAACATTTACATTCATGGGTTGTTATGTCAATTGAGAATACATTAGATTCCATCAAAACAACCTAAAATATTTGACTATTGGTCTCCTTTTACAAGGAAAAACAAACTTTGATTATAAATTTATATTGATTGGAACTCAATGCCATATTGATGACTATACAGTAAACAAGATGTGCTGTTGGAGGTGGTTATTTTTCCATGACAACCTGACAATGCGTCATTGTGTACATCTGATTTGTGTTATCTGACAGCAGAATTCTTTGTCTTATTTTCTTAACCCCCCAGGCAACTTTGCAAAGAATTCACAGATCTGCTGGCACAGGATAGGTCTCCTTTGGGAAACACCAGGCCCAACCCCATCCTAGATCCAGGCATCCAAAGCTGTTTGACTCACTTTAGCCTCATTACACATGGCTTTGGCTCTCCTGCTATTTGTGCTGCACTCACAGCTGTCCAGAACTACCTGACGGAAGCATTAAAAGGACTGGACAAGATGTTCTTAAACAACAACCCAAATAGACATACATCTGGAGGGGAAGCAGGCAACAAAACTGGAGACAAGGAGGAAAAGAACAGGAAATGAGAAAATTCCTCCAAACTTTTTATTTTCTGTAGCTTTATAAAAAAAATCTTCTATTGACTTGGAAAAGACAACAATGCACACACAATGGAGCAACACTGGGTCAACTGTTTGTAGCCAATATGGAACTGGATGCAAGGCATCAAGATCTTTTTTCTTGGTATACTTCCAATTTTGTGAATGTTTTGACTTCCATTTTATGTCAGAATAACAGGTGAATCCACGACCCACTTGTGTGACTGTCATTTTTTTAATATAATATCAAATTCTTTTGGTCCCACTTTCATTCCAGTTCTGATTTCTGTGCACATTTTTGCATGTTTTGAGGATGGAAGCATTCCAGCAAAAAAAAGAACAGCAACCAGGTACTATTAATATATAAAAGCTTGTTGTCAGTGAAGAGACCCGTAGAGGGAGATTTATTTGTCAGTTTTAATGCAGAGCCTACAAAAAGACACTACCCAACATCTGAAGGTTTGTGTAAAGGTTTCAGTATATGATGGAGATGTTGGCTTTCATGGATTTATCATCGTCCATCCTAGAGAATTCTGCACAATTGAAGATGGGCTCCCATTTTACTCCTGATAGCTCTAACCCCAGTCACACCCTTTCCTTTGTCATGAGCTATGCTATACTCTAATCAGATATTGATACACTTATTCAACCAAAGTAATCATCAGCCTCCATTACAGTTTCAGATCAAATTCAAGGTGTGGACAACAATGTCAAATAACTGTGAAAAGCAGATTGAGCACTGGCCTTTCTCTGAGGTGAGTTCACTTTGAAGAGACAGACATAAAGTGAATAATGAATAAGGTGTATCAACAGCAGATCTTTGTTCATACCAAGTAGTCCGTTACTTATGTTGATGCAGGACTGAATTTGACTGGCCAACCTCTCAGTAATTAATCTATGGTATGATATTTATTTTACTTTCTGTATTTCTTGCTTTTTTTCCCTTCAAGGAATCTTGCATCCTTCTTCAGATCAGAGAGGAGTGAGCAAGATGTAAATATCTCTACTAAACACCCTCAATCCTGGCTGAAGGAAGATTTACTTACCCCAGGGTTTAAGCAGAGTGTTAGTTATTTCCTTCAGAATGTTGAGGTGTTCTGAAATTACTAAACACCCATCTGTGACCCAGCAGAAAACTAACTGGAGACATGGCATTTTAAACAGGATGCAGAACTAGGCTTGGACCCCAGGTGAACTAGTCATGAATAAAGTTTCATAACTATTACACTACCTAACCAGTCTGAATAATTACAAAGAAAACTCGCAGATTTCAAAATGCTCATTTCTGAAGAGTGCCCTTTATTGGGGATGTGTTACCTGGAAGAATTAAAACGGAACTTAGAAGGGTGTTTTTGCAGAGGGTTATAGAATTAGAGAACAGATAGTCTATGACACAGCTTTATTTTATGCATCAACCTTTGAGAGACCATTTATCATTATTAATCCATCATATGTGTAAGACACATCATGTTAGCTTACTAAAACGTACAGTGTTTTCACCAAAGAAATGTCATGTCTGTTTTTAAAAGGGAAGCAACATTCTGTTTGCAGCTCAGTTTGCAGCTGTGATCTTTGTGAACTGGGAACTCCCTCAAAGTGAAGAAGTTGAGATCTTCTAAAAGTAACAGTAATTTCTTCTTTTGTAGACTATGATTAAGTGATGTACCTCCTGACAGAGATCTAATTTTCATTAATGATGAATAGATAAATCAGGAGTGAACAATGACTGATTTTCTCTTTCTTCTCATTCTGTCCTGAACGTTCAAGAGAGCTGCGGTCAATTTCAGCACCTCTCCACTATGCTTTTGATGTGTGAATTTAGCACAGGCCAGAAATGATCCTGGGACTCATTATTTTCATTTAGAACAGCATCTAAATATGCTAGCAGTTGGTTGAAGGTAGCACATGCTCTATTTTAAGAATTAGCAAACTTTAAAGGTTTGTACCTGGAAGAGTTAACAGGGAGCTTAGAAGAGGGTTTTTGCAGAGGGTTATTAGAACATCCAAATGCTTTGGCACAAGTGGCTATTGAGGCTGAGATTACAATAAAATATAAAAGTGAATCGGATAAATATTTGAAGAGAAAGAATGCAAAAAGATACTAGGAAGAGGCAGGGAATTGAGATTAATGTAGTTGGTTCCAGAACAAAGGCGAGTGCTAGCTCCACTTTAGGCTTGGAATGGCCTCTCCCTACATGATGATACTATGATCTATGATTCTATAATTCTGTCCTCTTTACTGGGAAATACTTGCCAATACTGATTTTCTGAGCATTTCATGTTCCTGGAGTTCTTTCCAAACTCTGCTTCCTACCAATGAAACAAGCTGTGCACATGCATTTATAAATGAAATCTTTTCAATGAATCTCTTTTAAAGAAGGTAAAGTAACTAAGTTATTCACATAAAAGGGTGTCTGATTGCAGCTCTTCAATCTCAGCTTGAATACATTGATGTACATAAACAGGTACAGATGTAATTATTAAATGCATCATTATTGCCAGCTTATAGATCATTGGTCCTTATTCCTGCTATGTACAAGATATGTGCCCTCATTTACAATAATATACACTCTTGTCTCCACATTCCTATCAACTGGAACTACTGTGCCATAGTCGTCACCTATACAGCTATTGTTTCCTTATTGCCCATTATATTATGTTATATTACAGTTATATTATCTGTACTAAATCAATCAGTCTTCAAAACGATGAAACTGATAATTCATACAGAATTTAAAGGGATCTTTGTGAAAGCTATTTTCCTTTGTTTCTCTCTGGTTTCTACTTCATTCTTCACTTCTAGGCCATCAAATTCAGTGCAATCAGTGATACACTGATACACATGGTGCTGTGGGTAACTAAAGGTGGCCTATAGTCAATTATATATTCCCACACTTGCAGAGCTGGGGGACAACACAAGTGTGTGAAAGACATGTTGGGTTGATGTGTTGCCAGTATATTTAAACAATCAGCTATTTATAGTTGTGTTCCAGAGTTAAAACTGTCTTGATGAATACACAACCTCCGATGAATCCTATTTTTTAAAATTTAATGCATCCAATTATTTTTGATTTTTGTCTCTGTTAACATACACCTTTGCTCCTGGCCCCTAGCCTCCTCTGATACTTTGCCTCCTCATGCAGGGATGTGGTTCCAAAGATGCTTGATATTCCGCCCAGGTAGCCTTGGCAGTGTGCTTAACACGCTCTCCCTTGCCCTGGGCAGGCAAAGGCCAACTTAGTCTACACAAAAGATTCTGGCTAAAACCAGCAAACAATGATTCGAGCCAGCGAGCCCCCAGTCAATTAGTTGCATCTGTATCTATTGTTCCATTGCTCCATTGAAACTTTGCAAATACAATAGCACTTAGAGTTAAGGTGTCAGGGTCTGTGAGCTCCTATGGGTCCACAGGGAAAAATTCTGATATTCTGTGGTAGAAACTTAGAAAAACTTGTGCCAAAACAAATTTGATTAACAAAAAATAATATGAGAAAATGCACATCTACTGCTTATCTTACTTTTTGACTTGTGGTTGCAATGCAATCTCTATCACTGTCAATAGTGTATCTCAGTGAGGTAAATCTGTTGATCTCTTATTGTACTGCTCTGATCTAGGAAGACATTAAGTTGCTGTTCTGACTAATGGTACATCAAGAACAGTTATTAGAAAATGTTTCCCTGGAAGTTATATTGTAGTCATGTGAATTCATATGGACTTGTGTCCAAAATATCAAATTACCACTAGAAATAACTCCCAAGCTTAGATGTAATCTTCATGACTGATAACATTGCAGAATAAATCCTTGTGTTAATTGTACGTTCTCTTTGCAGACAATTTGCAGGGAAGAGTAACTACTGTACAAGGCTCAGGGGTTATTGAGGAACTATGTATTTTCAACCGAGCCACTGCAACATTTTTACTTTCAGAAATCATAAGCACAACTAACTGCTTGTCCCAGGAAAAAAAGGTGCTTAGAATATTTTATTTTGATGTCAGATGGCAAGCATCTGAAGGGAAAGGATTTGGCTGTTGGTGTGTCTTTGTGGACAAAAAATAGGTCAAATTTTCTAAGATGGTGTTTAATGTGATTTCTGGTTTCTATCAGTGGTTAATTTAGTATTTGTCCTTGAGTTAAAAAATGATCATGAAGCAAGTTTGCATTGCACAAACAAAAACTATGAAAATTATTATCAGTCTGAAGACTTTTTACCGGAAAAAAGAAATTAGCATAACAAAAAATGGTCAAAAGCAATAATGAAGAGGAATGTTATAACTGTGGTTTTCAGTATATATGCCTCTGGCTTGGTTGAGTCTAACGAAAAAGCAAACATTTGGCATTATGATTACCTCAAGTCAGAAATACCTAGACTTTAGTTCAGAAAATGCGCACACTTTTCATAGAATATATAATAAGCAGAATATTGAACCAGATGGAAACTTGTAACTACAGTCAGATTTTACAGAGTGGCAATAGCAGCCACGGATAATGTCTCTGGTACCAGCCAACAATCCATTTTGTCAGTTGCCTTGAATTTTGTAATTATCTGATAAGTAAAGCACAGTAAATCAAGCATAAAAGAAAGAGTATTTTATATCTAAGTTTTGTCTAGTTATTTTGTTTGCTGAATGCTTGTACCGATAAATTCCTTTTAAGTGAAAACCTCTTGCACATGTTGGACACATTTGTAACTTGATTCTTTCTTGCAGTCTTTTTCTGTGTTGACTGAACACGCAGACTTTAAACAATACTAACAGTAGAGAACAGTTCTCATTTTGATTTGAATTAAAAACTTACCGGTAATACCCCCTACACACACCTGCACACTTACATTTAAAATTGTGCGACCAAACCCTGTTTTGTTAACATCTCCACCTAGTAAAGGAATTTTCTGATGTTCATTCACTTAACAGGAATCCACTTTTGTCAAAAATGTGCGCTGAATTCATTAGCACAGTGTGCCAAAACTAATTGTCAACAGGTTGTATAATTTGGACTCTTCCCATCCTTGTCTCATGCTACAAAAATGTGTTTTGACTCCAGTCTCCAGGTAACCTGAATTTTATAAATCTTTTCCAAATGTAATGACTTGGACTATCAGTTCTGCTGGATCTCCATTGGGAATCAAATTGGAGGGGGGGTGGGGGGGTTGTCACTGTCCATGTTTGTATATATTTATTTAATGTTAATTTAATGGGATTGTAAATATGGTGAGCCAGTAGTGGGGTATTTATCTATGATTCCATACCTCTGTGAGTGGGTTGAAATGCTTGACACTAGATAGTCCACTATCTGATTTCTGTTCACTAGACACATTGTAAAGGTGATGGGTAGAAATTGTTTATTGTCCAGTTGTGGTCCTCATTTTTAAAAAAAAGTTACGAGTACCTTGTGATTTTGTTGTATTTTATTATTCAGTTTAAATGTGATGCTGCTTCACTTTCAGACAGATTATGTTGCTAGGTCTGTCCACCTACTGGTTGTTTGAATGAAAACCAATTTGTCTTCAAGAAACAAAAGAACACATAATAAACCTTGCTTCCAAAATGAATTGAAATGTTCTTTTCTCTTTCAGTGAGGTACACAAGGATCCAACACTACACAAATGCTAAGTCTGTCTGTTAACATGTGTCCACACCTAAAAGAAATGTGGTTAAATTTGGCAAAGGTTTGAAAAATAAAAAATAAATCAGATTTGATATTTCAGATTTAATGTTGAACGCACTACTCAAACAAAAATGTACAAA